GATATACGTCACAGCAAATGCTGCAGTGACGACAGCAAAAAAAAACAGTGTGATGCAAAATGAGATCTACAATGCCTATAAAAAAAAGCATTCACCCCCAGTTTTCAGGTTTTTACAATAACACTGAACCACAGAAAATTAGATTTAGATTTTTTATGTGCTCATTAACCAAAACATGTCAAAGTGAAAATATAACTTGTGATGATCTATTACACTATGCAAGTATTTAAGTCAGTAATTAGTATATGCATCTTGGTATATGCAACAGTGATAATTAGTCTTAGGTTTAGTCTTGGTACTAGTCTTGGGTTTATAAGGATACGTATCAGTCAGTGCTGTTATCTTTTAACTAAAACGAATAAAAAAATAATGAATTAATTATTTTTTATTACAACTATTATTTAATTAATTATTAATCATTATTATTAATTAATTCAAAATAATTTTCAGAAACTGAAATAAAGCTCAAAATAAAATTAACTAGAATGCTTCCATGCTTCCTTGCCAATTAACTGAAATAAGTTTAAGTACTACTTAAACTAAAACGGTAAAACATTTTTTTTAAATAAAGCAAAATATAAATATTTTAAACTAATAAAAATGACAAAAGCGAATATATTAAAAAGTAAACTGAATATAAAAGATAATTTAAAATAATCATATTTTGTTATTTTTGGTTGTTTGTTTTTTGCTCCTCAGACTAGTCTATTTAAAGATTTTTAATCAATTTAAAGCTAAATAGAAATATTAAAATGAATAAAATTGACAAAAGCTTTATTTAGTTTTATTATTTTAAAACTAAAATGAAAATATAAAAATAAAAATGAATACATACTGTAACAACATATATATAAATAATACTAAAATCACACTGATCAATTCTGAATATTTGTGCTATATAAATAAAAAAAAAATGAAGGGATTATTGTAGATCATGTCTTTTTCATTTTTGAGTACTTTTCTGTTGTTCAATGGACTCATCAAAAAAAAAAAAGACTCTAGGCTATAAAATACTGATGAATAAGTCTGTGAGTGTGTAAATACTTTGCAATGCCTGTATTTAATGCATTTAAATGTTAAAATACCTTCAAGTTCTTACAGCTCTTCATGAGGTATTTCACATCATAAATGATGGGAAAAAATAAACGAAGAATCTCGAAGAAGTCAACCTCTTCATCTGGCAATTTTGAGTTGGACAAACTTTTAATCAGGTACCCAAAGTCATAGCCACTGTTCGGAAAAGAGACAAAAATTAGCTTGAAAATAGATCGTATAATTCATTGAACCACAGCTTTAGACGTGTACTATAAGCAACACATTTTTAAACACTACTGTACATTTTCTTCCACTTTTAATGGAGTTGTGGTTTGAATCACCACTGAAACACTCGTGTTCATTTCACTATGTGAATATTACTGTAAGATTACCTATGGAATGAGAGCCACTTGACCCCCTCACAAAGCACCACACCTGAGGTCATAAGCAGCTCAGCAAAGTACAGTGTCTCAATACCCTCTTCCTCATGCTTCTTAAACTGGATACCTGACGAGGTGAGCAACTCAATGGAATCCTGTGCATACATGTCTTCCCTGCAAAAGACAGTACCGCTGGTGTAATGTCCAGCTTTCATTAAGAATCACATGATGGCTATGGATACACCTGAAGACAAGAAAAGTCATCTTCAACATGGACTTATGTACATAAAAGTGTGATCATGGATTGATGCGTTGTTGTTTCAAATATGCGTCATACCTCTTAAATTACAAAGTGCAATGCTTACGTGAGGTTAAATTTGAAGTTGAACTGCCATGTTGACGTCCCTGGAGGGTATTCACCCTGTTCGTTCATAAATGTAAGGCCAAGCTGGATGATCTTTAACAAGTCAACATTACACCGCAGCAGCTGGTACTGGTAATCAGCATTGCTTCTAAATTCACCGATTGGTCTTGCAACTACACCTGGAAACTCTGTGTCCTACAAATGCAACAACATGCATCATGGTTGTTATGGATATTTGTATATTTATCAGTATAAAAAGGGTTTTGTTCAGACAGACAGGAAATATCTGATTTTTGGCATATCATATAATAAATATCGCTTTTTATTTCTCCTCTTTCCTACTACTTGTTTCGATTCTGTTTCAGTTTTTATAACAATTTCTTACTGTGTGCAAGTAAGTTGTTGTTTTTTAGCATGTGTGTTTGGCAGTGTTATTTTGTACTGATTACTGATAAACTACTGTCATTTGATTTGTATTATTTGCATTTGTTATTTATTTTAATTTTAGTTACATTATGTCTGAATTTATTATGTCTGTATAGGTCTTTTATTAAGATTTTAGTTTTATTTAATGTGAGTTATTTTAATACTTCAACAAACTAAATGGAAATGAAATAATATATATATAGAATTTATAAATGTGTATGTATACATATACATATACATATATATATATATACACATATACATATATATATACATATATACATATA